CAGAGGGCCTCTTTGCCAGCTGCCTCAGCACAAGAGGCCTGTTTCTGACTTGGCCTCTTGCCATTCGGCCCCCTAACTGGGTACTGACTGATTATTTCACTAACAGCGCTGAGGTGGCTGGGACTGGGGAGGCTGGGATTGCCCACATGGTCAGGTCTTGAACAGAGCAAAGCTATTCTGAAGCTGGTAGGGCTCGTCCTTGGCATGATGGAGAACGGCAGGAGCAGGAACAGTTCTCTGACTTTCCCCACAGCCCTTCTTCCCTGGTGCAGGTCATAAAACCTACAGAGAACTTTCTGATCTTCCCCAAAAGCAGGTCACCAGGCCCTCCCCCAAGGGACGGCCTCCTGATGCCCAGAGAAAAGAACATCCTCGTCTCTGCAGAGAAAGGGTCACATGGAAGAGTCTCAACAAACAGGCCTTGCAAAGTCTCCCCGGGTTGGTTACCCTAGATCACACCCTCATTTTTCTACAGTGTGTCCCCATAGCTGTCCGCTCTGACAAATCTAACAGAAAAATCTACAAGTGTAACCATTTCTTTGGGTATTCTTTGACTTACAAAAGCTGCTGTCCCATGTAATACTGACGGTAAATAAACGTGTTTTTCTCCTATTAATCTGCCTTTGCTAGAAGGCCTCAGCCACAAACCTGGGATCAGTAGGGAAAAAGATATTTATCCTCCCCTCCAAAGAGTGAAGTGAAGCGGACAGAGTTGCCCTTCCGTCCTCTGTGCTCGTTTCACTCTCCCTTCCCAGGGTTCCATACAGGCTTGATCTCAAGACAATGTCTTCTTTCAAGTCCTTTCCTTTTCTTAATCTCTCAGCTACATTTACTTTATCCTGAAACCTCAAGGTCTTTTGGGAGCCTTGGTTTACAGACCTTTAAACTCAGGGATGCAAAAGTACTAGTGGGTGGGTATGTCAAAGGACGGAGAAACGCTAAGACAGAGCTGAGTGTATTTCTCTTGATAATAAAGAACTGTGCTGGTCAAGCTCAGTGCCTCTGAGCAGAGTAGAACCTGACCTTGAATACATTTTTGGCAGTGGTGGACTGGTAAATCAGCTCTTTGGGGGAGGAAGAGCACTTGCCAGTATCCATGATGTAAATGTTCAATCCCATCATGGCCTGACTCAAGCTACTGAAGATTTAACAAATGGCCCAATAACTCCTGAATATTTAATGAATGTTTCTTGATGGCCCCAAGAGCCTAGCTCTCATACACTGCTTTGTTCAGAACCCTGAAGCTAAGGAGTTGGTGGACTCTCAGGGGTATACATGATTAACATCATCAGTAGGAGCAGTGTCACTCAGTTGCGACAGCTGTGGATTGGTTGGCAGTCAGATGAGCAAGTACTGGAATGAGTCTATCCCTGGTTGGCTGATTTCCAGAGGGAAGAGGCTGACACTGATTAGTTTGTCAAGCTCCCACTGAGGTGTGTTGTCAATAATCCATTGAATAGGCTTGCAACTAGTTTTGACAGGTATTTGTTCACAGGGTACATATGCGGAAATTTCTCCTTTCCCAAGCTTTCAGGAACATTTTGATTCTGAGCTATTACACTAGATAAAAGTTTTAACATAGGCCTTCTTAACAAAGACTGGACAGTATAGGATACTTAATCAGAATTCCAATTATAATCATAGCATTCAAATGGCCAATGGAAAAATATCCTCCACCAACATTGAAATGAACACATCTTGATAAACTAAGTTTCCCATGTCTCTCTCTCTCTCTTTTTTTTTTGTGTGTGTGTGTTTTTTTGAGATAGGGTCTCACTATGCAGTTCAGGCTGGCCTTGAGCTCACTTTGTAGCCCAGACTAGCCTCAAACTCCCAGCGATCTCCTGCCTCAGCCTCTATTTGTTTTTTTTTAATTTTAAAAATAAAAGGAGGAAGCCTCCTGAGTGCTGGGATTACGGGCTTGCACCACCACCACACCCGGCTCCTTATCTCTTTAAGTAGAGAATTTGTGGGTAGGATTTTCGGTTCATTTTAGAGAGATAATCTGAGGTTTGTTCTATGAGGTAAACATCAGCTACTTCTTAGACCTCTGTTCCACATAAATAGGGAACTGATAGTTAATAAGACACTGTGCTTAGCTTATCAAAGGAAGTCCTTATCGTTTATCTTACAAGCTTGCCCACACCATGCTTTTCTGCCTCCTCCCCTCCTCCCTGCCCTCTACACACAAGCTCATTCCTAGTCTGTGGGCGTGGAGTGGGGGATTCTTTGTGAACCAGAGCTGGAGAAGTTTGGATTAATGTCCACATCTTCCTTAACTCCATTAGGATGTCCTAGAATACTTATTTTACTATTTGTTGTTCATTGTTAGTATTCAAAATGGCTTGAATCTGCTATTTGTAGTCGAAAACCCATCTCCCTGCTTCCTCGGTAATGGAATCCCTTTTCTTCTCTAAATATCCCTGTGCTCAAAGCCCTGTGAACCTGGACTCAGACTATGTCCACCAAAGCTGTGGCCAAAAACAGGGACACAGGTGGCAGAGAGCATGGTTTTAAGACTGGTTCTTACTGATCTGTGTGACCCTAGCATTTACTGCTTATGTAAACAATAAAAATCGAAAGAAGAGTCCTGTGAACACTACAATCAGGCCAGATTTTCACTACCTGCTAAGAAGGTCACTGATATGGTTAATACGGTTAACTTCATTCCTCTGAAGGATGAAAGATGGAAGGAAACAGAATGAAGAGGCAAAGGATTTTGCAAAATTGAGCCATGAGGCAGAGAACCAGTCTAAAGCTACACAGTACTGCGCTATGTTTCCACCCTTCAGGTGCTGACCTAGCCCATGACTCCTTCCCAGCCTCACCAAGCACTCCTATGTCCTCCAGCCTCCTGGTTCTGCAGACCCAGAGTCCCTCCATACACACCACCTCTGATCTCCTAGAGGGGTGCAGCCCTGCTGGACATCTCCCGCCTCTTCTGTTTGGGTCACTGTCCTTTTGTAAAGGCTGTTGTGCCTGGACCCTGGAGCCATACTGCCAGATTCTTGCTTCTCCCCTCTTGGCCAGGTGCCTTACCCTGTTTGAGCCTCAGTGTCCTTATCTGTAACATAGCGATAATGTTAATGTTGAACTCATTGTACTGTGATAAACTTTAAATGATATTGCACAAAATGTGAGCCTGCCTGGCTTCAGTCAGTGCTATGTAAGGGCTTGTTATTATTGTTCCAGCGCTTCTCTGCTCATGTCTTCTCCTTTTCTCTATGGTCCATCTATCTGACCCAGGCCTCTTGTCCACAGGGGCTACCAGGTGCCATCCTCAGCCTTCTATCTTGCAGTACCCACCTCATGGATTCATTAGCCTTCCGAATACTATGAGTTGTCCTCCGCTCTTGCCTCTTCAGCCAGTGTCTGTGGCCAGGAACCTTCACCTCCTGTCACTGTCATGTCAAATGTAACACATCCTCGATGAAACTGCACTTCCCCTCTGAACAGATCTTCTCGCCCTCACCCATGCTACACCATCACTCTGAGACCTCAGTCTCCGAATCCCTCCCTCCTGCTTCTCCTCACATTCGATTTATTTCCAACCCCTCTTGTTCTTTGTTTGACTTCACCCTGATTCACCTCATTCCTGCGTTCCCACGACCACCATCGTCCAGGCCACCCCGCTAGGCAAAACCACACAGCTTCACAACAGATGTCCCTTTGCTGAGCGATGTGCTTCCCCACAGACTGTCTCCAACCTTCCAAACTTACACTTTTCCAACTTCGTGGTGGGACAGAAGCATTGCAGACAACCATTCTGCTTTTCACTGTTAGGATAATATTTAATAAATTTGATGAAAGAGTCAACATTTTATTATAAAATAGGCCCCTATTGGATGCTGTGTCTCAAATAGGTTAGTGGAAGAGCTCTGAGCATGTTTAAGGTAGGCTACCTGAACTGTGAGGCTTGGTAGGGTAGGAATATTAAATGTATTTTCAACCTATGATATTTTCAACTCACCAAGGCCTATCAGAACCCAAGGCAAGTAACTCAAGGTGCATCCGCATGAGAACGAGAGGTGGCTGTGTAAGAGGCGGCCTGGGCTTGGCTCCTGGCTGTACACTCAGCATCCTGTTGGCTCCCAGCATGGAGGGACATCCAACCCGGAGTCCTTAGACAAGGACCACTGAACACACACATTTCCAAACAACCTCTGCTGGAGGTGGGGAGCAAACTGAGAATCACGCAACCTCCTCCAAATCAAGTGCACCCCCTCACCTGTTCGCACTGTTGCTTAAACACAGATTACTCAAACTTCTGCCAGAAACTCTCCCTCCCGCCCTCCTTCCCAGGTCCTCCTTTATTGCCTCTCCTTTCCTTTCTCACCCCTCCCAGCCTCTCAGATTCTCTTCCAGCTATTCCATCCCTGGCCTAGGCTCTCTCTGCCCCTCCTAATCAATACACCCTGCCCTGCTGTGCATCCTCCAGGGCTGCTTTGGCCTTCCCCACTGGCCTATCCTGCCCCCAGCTGGCCTTAATACCTGATGACAGTTCCACTGAGTTTTCTGTTTCTTTGTGTCACCTGGTCTCCTGAATAGGACCCTCAGCTTATTGAGGACATGAATGCTCTCATCTGTAACCCACAGGGCTTGGAACAATAAAAAGCTGCAAACCCCTAGGGTGATGCCACTTTGTCAGTTTCAAAGTTCTTGACCACAGACAGTGTAACCATTTGCCCCACACTCACTGCTAGCCTGTGAGGAGGCCCCTCAGAAAGACTGTAACAGGCAGAACAGAACTAGAGCTTGGGGAAACTTCTGCCCTTCGGCAGGTTTTGATTAGGAGGAATAAAGGGGTACAGGCGCAAGCAGGTGACAAGCTGATCACCTAAGACATGATCCTCATCTTTGTCTCATTGAATTGTTGGCATACTAGAGGTTGGTGATGAAACCAGCCTGCGTGTGTCCCCATCCACGAGCCCCGCCAGTGGCTCACACTAGTCACAGAAGCACCCTGTGGTAAAGCCAGGAGGCAACGCCAGCGTCTTTACCTTCTTCCACTTGGTGGAGGTCAGAGCTGTCTTTCAAGTCTTCATGCACCCAGGGCTGAGTTTGGGGCTCCCCTTTCTTTTTCTCTGGGCTTCTATCAGCAGCTTTAAAGATCCACAGGATCAAAATGCAGACAACTGCTACCAGGACTGGAGTCAGGAAAAACATGGTTGGGAGAGAGTCTGATCCTTACCCAGAGGAGCCCCGCTTCCCACGCTGGCATTTAAGCAGAGACAGGAGTGGGGAATGCTGGGAGTGAAAGAACAGGGAGGTGTACAGGGAAGGAGCAAAGTTCAGAGCTCTCAGACTCCATGACGACTTTACAAAGGAGCAAAGATCACAGTCATGTGCGGGCATGATGTGTGTGTGGCTCCGGTCATGCACCAGCACACTCACTTCTTAAAACTGTGCACTCAACCTAGGCAGCAATCAGCAGGCGCTGTGTGAACACTGCAATGCTCTAGCTCTTGGTAGCAATGGTAACAGGTATTTCATCTTTCTGTATAACTTTTCTCTGGGAATGTCTTCAATTTAGGAATTGTCTGAAGAATCTAATTTTACGAGAAAATAGGGGAGAGTATTGGGTGAACCAACTCATATCTTGTGAAAGAAAACTTCCAGGACAGAGGCCTGGCAATCTGTATTTTTAAATGATGTGTGTGAGAGGCATTGTTCTTTTTTTTTTTTTTTTTGTACCAGGAATCAAACTCATGACCTCAGGCTTGCCAGGCAAGCACTTATGCCGCTGAGCTATATCCCCGGCCCAAGGCATTGTTCTTTAAATTGTGATTTTTAAAACAATGCCCTTGCCAATATACCGAGCAAGGAAATATCATGTTTTACATTAGAGAAAAACTTGAGCTTACAAAAAATGATAGGGCAAATTATAATAATTGATTATATATCTTTTTTAGTTTTTTGTTTTTTTGTTTTGAGGCAGGGTCTCTCTATGCTGCCAGGTTCGCCTCAAACTCACAGCGATCCTCCTGCCTCAACCTCCAGAGTGCTGGGATTATAGGTGTGCACCATAATACCCGGTATAACTGTTACTTAAGTAAGCTTTTCTTTTTTTTTTTTTTAGATTTGCTTTGTTTTGATTTATTGTACTAGAAACTATCTTAGTTTGGGCCATTATAAACAAATTGCCATTGGCTGAGTCAGTTAAATAACAAAGCTGTGTTTCTTACAGTTGTAGAGGTTGGGAAATTCATAATCAAGGTGCCAGAAGACTCATTTCTTCCTGACTTACATATGGTGCCTTCTCCCTGTGGCCTCACATGGGTGAGAGGGGAAGTTGACATTCACAACAACCCCATGCAGTAGATTCTACTATTACCCCCATTTTCCACATGAAGAAAGTGGGGTACAAGTAGGTGAAACAATATGCCTATAGCCAGCATTAGATAAATGGACCAGAAGTAGCCCCTGCGTATCTGCCTAAAGAGTCTGTGTTGTTTCCTCCTGCAGAGCAAACCAGAGCCCTTAGTCCACAGCCAGAGAGAAGATGGAAATTGGGCTCATGTTTCCTGTACAGATATAGAAGGTCCTGGTAGCTGGCTTCCCAGGGCTCATGTTTCACTGAGGAGGTATACAGAAAAGAGGTCTAAAAATATGAACAGCACAGGGAAGGAGGACTTGGCAGCTGTCACCAGCAAGAGTGGCAGGAGCAGAAAGTACAGAGGAGCCAAAGTGATTAACAGTGACTGCCACAGGGCGAGGCCTATGCTCCTCCTGTCCCAGAGCACCTGCGGGTTTTAGTGAAGAGAAGTCTTCCCTGGGCACTTGTTCTTGGGTTCCCGCAAGACTATCCCCCTTTTTCTGTGAATTCCTGCAATATTTCCCTGAGCAAGGCCTGGTGAATGTTCACACCTCTACACCCAACACCATCCCCACAGCCAAGCCTCCCACTTGTGATCACATCAAGACAGCGAGACGCTTTATAGCACCCTTGAGAGTTGCAGTAAAAGCTTCTGATGCTGCCTTGAGGTCAGATCTGTTTTGCTTGAGAAACAGAGCTTATGCATGAGGTCCCACAGGTGCCATCTTGCCTCTGTACTCCGAGTAGTTCTGAGGCATCCTGGTCTACTTGTTTGCCCAATGCGTCTTCCTCATGAAGTTAGAAAGGACAGATGAGCAGAGATGGTATGAGACAGTTTTGTACTCTACCATTACTTCTCATTGCTCACTTCAGATTGATTTCATTGTAATCATGTTGGGCCTTGTAGCCAGCCTGCAACCACATTGTGAACAGTAGTGTCAGAAGACACATTTCTCCAAACACACGCACATGCAGTTTTAACATTCGGTGCTGATGTTAAATCCAGTCATCTCGGTGTCCATCCTCCTTCCTACTTTCTAACATCTTGATGTGGCTTTGTAGGAGAAAGCAAAGGAGTTTGAAAGAGGATTTCCTAGGAAAGAGACCTATTGGAGCATAAAGTGAGCTAACTCAATTCTAATGGTTCCCACAATCATTTACCATGCTTGTTTGTTATGTGTTTATCCCAAGGGCTCATCAGCAAGTGCTATGCCAAGTCTTCAAGCAAAAGGCTTGAAATAGGACTGTATTGTACTGAGGTCTTAGCTGAGTTGTGAAATTGGAAAATCACAAGGAATTCATAAGTGTTTTTAAAAATTTAATTGGTCTTGGCTATACTCAGCCTACACTCACTAACATCAACCCACTGAAAGGTCTTCACTGTCTGCTTATGCATTACTGAGTGCTAGTGATATAGGACCTCCAAATGATATAGGGAAGTATTGTAATTCCCAACCTGCTAGATGTCAGATACACTGAGTTGGTGTTCCCCGGAGTTGAAGAATGAATTCTAAGGAACAACAGAAGTTAAGAGTAGAAAAATTTATTAGGGAAAAGGAATGGGGAGTAGGAATAGCTCCTGAGAGACAGGAGAGGTCCTGAATAGACTGCTAGCAAGCCCACTTCTCTGAGAAAGTTCTATACAGCAAAGTCACGAGGGGTGGGTACAATATGGGGCAAATTACAATCAACCAATAAGATTATAAGTATAGCCACTTAGCCAATATTGATCCAATAGTAGCAAGAGCATACAGATGATGTCATTATCCTCGGTTGATAATCTATAGTCTTAGTCTTAGTCTTAGTCTTAGTCTTAGTCTTAGTGAGTGAGAGAGGATGGCCCACCCCTAATGAGGCAATGGTTTATTTATACAAGAAATCTCAAAAAGGTGGTACCAGTAATCTCAGGCTTCTGTTTGTCCTCTAAAGAAGTATGTAAATCTGGCCATTGTGAATTTAACCTGTAGATGAGCCTCCAGGCGCAGTCCTGATGCATTCTCATCTTCTGCACTGACTCCCCCAGGCCTAGCCCTGTGTGACTGCCTGTATTTCTACCTAACTTAGTTATTTATAATAAAATACCACGCATTAAAGAGGACTGTGGTGATATTAGTCACAAATTTACTAAAATAGAACAATGGCATGCTCCCAAACAATATGTAACATTTATCAATGCTGTATTTGCTTCCTGTAGAGATTCAGTATTGGTTTTCTACAAATAAAAATTATCACTAGAACTAGTGATTTTTTTTTTGTTTGTTTTTTGTTTTTTGTTTTTTCTCCGGTACCGGGAACCGAACTCACGACCTTGCGCTTGCCAGGATGGCGCTTTGCCGCTGAGCTAAATCCCCAGCCCCTTAGAACTAGTGATTATTCAATTTCGTAGAATAGAATTTGATTTCAATTCTATTTCTTCCTAAGGATAAATTATGAGGCATAATTTTATACCAGAATGCTCTTGTTAAAGGCACTGATTGCTTAGCATTTAAGATGCCTGGTGCATTATTTTTCTAGTGCTGCTGTAATAGTAAAATATCACAAATGGGGTGGTTTAAAATAACAGAGGTATATTCTCATCATTCTGGGGACCAGAGTCCAAGATCAAGATGTTCATAAGACCCAGCTCTCTCTGAAGGCTGTAAGGGAGAGTCTCCTGGTGTTTTCAGGCAAACTTGTCACTCCTTGGCAGTGGACACACCACCCCAATCTCTGCTTCTGCCATCACATGGCATTTTTCCCATAGTCTTTGTGTCATCCTCCCCTTGTCAGTCTCTGTCTCTGTGTCTCTTCTCTTCTTAGAAGGACACCAGTCATACTGGATTAGGGTCCACCCTAACTAGGGACCTCATTTATACTTGATCACCTCTGTAAAGACTTTTTTTGTAAATAAAGTTGCTCTAACAGGTACATAAGGTCACAACTTGAACATATGTCCTTGGTGACACAGTTCAACATGCAACACTTTGTAAAATAGAAGAAAAGGTATTTCAGCTGCTTTTTGCTGTGGATAAGTAATTGGGAAACATCAATGAACTCATAGAGAATCTCTAGGCTTTTACTTTATCTGTTTTTTTGTTTGTTTGTTTTCTTTTGTCTTTTTGAGACAAAAAGGGTCTTGCTATGCAGTTCAGGCTAGCCTTGAGCTCACTTTGTAGCCCAGGCTGCCCTCGAACTTGCAACGATCCTCCTGCCTCAGCCTCCCGAGTGCTGGAATTATAGGCATGCGCCACCACACCTGGCCTGGCTTTTACTTTATCAAGCAAAGTGGGGTATCAGGAGACATTTCAAGCATTTCTTTCTCTCCTTTGAGACAAGGTATTTAGCCAGCCAACTCGTGTACACTAACATACCAGGCACCTTCTTAAATGTCATGTTTCCTTTTAGGGGAAAGACTTACCAATAACAAAGCTGTCCAGGAGGGACCCTGAATCATTTTAGTAAAGACATTGGAAGACTAGAATCCATCCCCCTTTTCATGTCTAGCTCCAGCCTTGGGTTACGGAAAGTCCAGAAGCCTAAATGTTGCATGTTTTAACTTCTCTAATATTTTAAGATTTTATTAGTTAAATAATGCTAACTATTGCAATAGTTCAGAACACAAGTGTGAAACGAAATGCACTCTAAGGACTTGGAAATATGCAAAACCAGATGAGCTTTGAGTTATCCCAGAGAGAATTAGAACAGAGATTTGCCAAGTCTACTAAAGAAGACAGTGTCAGGTTTTGCTCAGCTACTTGTAATGATCATTACAATGGTAGCAGGTGCTTTCCTGAGCATTTCCCCGGTGTCAAGCACTGTATCATTACTTCACAGTATTTGACCCTCACTTCAGTCTATGACAGATATCCAGCAGTATTGCCCCATCCTCCTTACATTGCCACATGGAAAGGAAAGCAAGTCCAAGAGTGTCCCCAGA